TTTTTTTTTTTTTTTCAGTGGCCCTAATCCTCTTCCGTAGGTCCTATCATTGACAGCCTATTTATAAAAATAATTCACCTAAATTAATCATAACTAACCAAAAACAAAGGAACATGACTAAATAACCAAAAAACATAATCTCATAACAGATATCAAGCAATAAAGTAAAATAAACTTAGCTAGATTATGCACAAAAACAAAAAAACTTTGTTAATTATTAACCAAAAATAATCGGCTCCTACAAATAGTGCATTAAATGATTTTACAGATTTTGCCCGAGGATCTGAGCCGATCTGATCAACTCATACAGAACAAAATGCATCAGGGAAAATAATCAGCAGGAACTTTAGAGATATGTCTTCTTGTTAAAGGTCACAATGGAAATGCTGGAGGGAAATAATGCTCCCTATTTGTCTATGCCGAGCTGCTCCTCCAGCTCCTAATTGGGATGATAAATATACAGAAAGAAGGTTACAGATATGAAACCCTCAAATGACTTAAAATGAACCCAAACATGATTTTAACATATTATGATGTTCATTTCTGTCGCATATTTATTGATAGTTGTTTCTTAGTGGAAAACATTGGAGGGTCATTTATTTCAAGCTTCAGAGACTAAACTCTAAAGGGTTTTCATTTTTTGTGATGGTATATAAAATAGTATTATCAGCATTATCAGAGGTATTGCTATTAAGCTCCGGGCCACAGCGCTGTTATTAAAACTGTTCTAGGTGGACATAGATATGTTGAAGGGTTTACAGCTGCGTCAAACTCGCTTCATTTTCAGATGATGGACTGAAAATTGCCCGATGAGATATTTAAAGCCTTGAACTCTTCTTTAAATCAGAATCAGACATACTTTAATAATCCCAAAGGGAAATTCCTTTCAAACTCCACAGCTCTGTCAGCTGTTTGTCTTATTCTTTATAGCCCTGCTCCTTCTCTCAACTAAATAGCCTCTGATGCCTTCAAAGAACAGCTGAAACAGCTTAGAGTTACTTTTAAAGGCAAAAAGTTCCCCTAGATTTTCTTTCAGGGCGTCGGATTAAAGGGGACAGATGAAAACAGCACAAGTTACAGATTTCTACTCATGAAATCTTTTGAAAATCTTGAATGTGGGAAGGTTTAAGGGCTGCTAGTGATTTTGTAAAGCAATCTGTGTAGAGTAGAATATATGAGAAGATGGAAAGCAGGAAAGAATGCTAAATTTTGGTTTATGAAGAAAACATTATCACAGAAGAAATGCGTTTTGGGGCTCTGAATATTTCCACCCCTTCCAGATTCCCTCAAAGCCCCTTGTTTGAATCTCAAATAGAAAACGATCTTTTAAGCAAGAGGAATGCTTTTTTAATGTCCTCCTAACCCTCTGTTGTTTGAGCAGCTGCTTCTTTGTGATAGCTTTTCTTTATTTAACAAACTCGCTATTACAAAACAATTCATTTAGTGTATATTTGTTAATGGCCAGTTATTAAAAGAGACCTTTAAAAAGAGATTTGCCCAAATTAAACGTAACAACTGTTTAATTAATGACCCCATTTGCAAACCTTAAGTCTGTTCTTTTGGAAACAAGGAACTGATTTTCGTCTCTATGCAATGAACAGGTGAGATTAACATGTCCTTCCTTCCCATAAAGCAGAAGCTATTTTTTCAGTTTAATCAACAAATTCTTTAAGATCAAACAACAACAGTAATTTCCCTTATAAAACAGATATTTAAACTGTAACCTAACAAATATTCTGAATAGTTATTGCAATCAGATTTTTCTCTTAAGGCATTTCTAACAGTTTTGTGTTATATTTTTATGAATGTTATATTTTTAAAATGTTTTTTTATGCATTTCTGCTCCGCTATAGCCAAGAGCAAAACAGTCCCTTCATTGACTAAAGCTCTGATCATTTTGTATTTTGTACATAACTATGAATTTTATTTTCAGCAAGCTTCTGAATAGGATTTTTTTATTGGTTTTGTAAAAAGGTTATATTTTGACATTATGTATAATGATAATATCCAGCCTGTTAGCAAAAAGCAAGAAAAATCAATCTAAAGAACTGTAATTGGAATGCAGGTTAGACCATTTTACAACTGTAACGACCTCATTGATGACCAAAAAGCAGAATTATCACCAGTTTAATTTTATTTTATTGTATTTTTAATGAGGCTATGATGTTACACTGATATGGCAATAACGAGAAGCAACCAACATGCTTGCTCGTCTGGTTTAATGGTTGAAATGAATAGTAAGTGGAAACGTTTAGCATATTTTTACAGTGAGGAAGATATTCCTGCAGTAAATAACGGCACATTTCTAAGAAATTTTAAATCAATATTTCATGTAGAAAATATTTTATTCTTTACGATTAACTGATCGTGAAATATTGACCCTTTGTTTGTTAGAAAATACTGTTTGAGTTATTGGATTTCTGTCAAATTGAATTACCATGCTGCTTATTTCGACAACAGTTGTGTATTGTCATGTTGGAATAAAAACAATGGATCATTCGGGTGTTTCTTTGCTGAACTAAAGTAAAATAATATAACATCAGAAGAGTAGTTTTGCAATAACTAATAAAAGGAGAGGAAAATATAGAAAAAGGTCTCTTCCCATCTCTGGTGTTCCAGGAAACGTAGCTCAAGAGTATAAATATTTGGAGGCTGGATAAATTCACTCTTAAATTGACTGTGACAGCCCCACCTGACCCCCCCGCCGCCCGGTGAGTCTGAAGTACTCACTGAATGAAACATTTTCAATCCTTTGGGGCCAAAAGGACCTTTATCAGAGGTGTGTTTGAGTGTTTTAGTGTCTGCTAATACTGTATCACTGCCATCTAGGGCTGCTCTTATGGGCTGTTTCCTGTTTCTGGTTTTCAGATCTGAGCTGCAAGTCATTTTGTTTTTTTTGTTGTTGTTTCATTATAGCACATACAAAAGAATCTGTGATTTTTTTTTTATCCCCCAGAAATTTCAAGAAAGTATCAAAAGCATTGGTATATGAGAATAAAAAAACAGCTTTAAAGTGTGAAAAATCTCTCCTCCGTTTTTGCTCACGTTTTGTCACATTTGAATGCTTCGGATCATCAAACACATTTTAATATAAGACCTTTTGATCACCAAGTAAAGCTGATCAAGCCCAATTATTCATAAAAGGAAAGCCAACATTTTTCTATGTCCCTTTAAAGTCCTACACGGATCGATTTACTACACTTCAGCTCAGCACTGGCTTCATACTTTGTGGCCTGCACTAAAAACGCACCGTGTCTTTTTATAGCCAATTAAAAACATGAAGTCTTCACCCTCATGCAGGAAAAATAAAATAAACGGAAAAAAGCCAGGCTGCCATCAGCAGCATCAAACCACAAGAGACTTCCAGTTGTTTTCAGATGCAGAGTAGCTCTTGAAAGTGTGATGAGCTGTGTAAAGTTGATGGAGTGTGCTGCCTTTAACAGGAGAAAACAGACACTTGATGTACACTTGACATCTAACTTATTCAGACATGCATATTTCAAAGCCCCACAGTCAGACAGCGTATGTTCAGAGCTGCAGCCTAATAGACGGAAACAGACTGTGCGATCCGGCTGTGCATATAAACAACTTGTGGATTTAGCAGCTTGCTCTTACTACCGATCTCTTGACTTTTTCCTGTCAGATCTCCAGGAAGGCGGAGCTGCGCTCCAGATTGGCTGAGCTTCAGCTGCAGCTTTCTGGCCCGCAGCAAACTCTGGGGATCGTGGGAGACGGAAATAAGGAGAAGATGAAAAGACAAGTGTAAGGAAGTGAGGGAGAGGTACCAGTGGGTGTGTATGTGGTGGGGTGCATATGGAGAGAAGGATAATTTTTCAAAAGCAACAACATTCACTTTGAAGCGTTTGATCTTTGTTGCATGTCGATGGAAACACACTGGAGGTCAAATCCTCTTGCACTTTTACAAAAAGGGAACTTCCACATTTTAGTAACGTGTCATGTTAACATTACTGATGTCACCCTCCCTAATGGAGTCCCTCGTCTCCCTAATCATCAGCTTCAGATTTCACATTTACATTATCTGTCCCAACCTGTAAAACAATACCCCCACCCTTATGAGGAAATACTCTTTTTGCTGCACCTCATTAAAATATTGATACTCAACAAATGGATTCACATTTTATTAGCTTACAACCACAGATTTCATATTTTTAATAAGATTTTATGGACCAACACAGCTGAAGTTGTTCATAATTGTAAAGTAGAAAGAAAAGATTTCAGAGTTTAGAAAATAAAAAACTAAACAACATATCAAACGTATATTTGTTTTAAAGCCCCTTTGCATCAACACCCTGAACTGAAATCCATGACATAGAATTGATTTAGTCTTTGCATAAATATAACATTTTTGTGACGCTTTAAAAATGCTAACAGAGAAAGATAAAGTTAGGCAGAAGTTTTAGATAATCAAATCTAAACCTTCTGGTAATGAAAACAGTTTGGTAGAGAGTAAAGCTGTTACACATGGTGGTGGCAGCATCATGCTGTAGGGGGATGTTTTTTTCCCCAGCAGGGATAGGGAAGCTGGTCAGAGTTGTTGGGAAGTTAGAGTTTGTGAAATTTACCTGGCTACCATTAAGCCACAAATCCTACTTTACTCTAAAAAAATATAGCTTGTTAATTTTTAAACTTCTTAATGTATAAAATGTCTCATATGTTCAGATTGTAAAAGAAACTTAAAGTTCTGGAATATGATCACATGTTCTGCTGAAAAAAAAAAGCTGATTTGGTTTGGCATAATAACATGCAGGAAAAAATATAATTTAAATATTTACAACAAAAACATTCTTTGTACATTTATTCAGTTGTCAAAACCCTTTCTGGATTTAACATGAAATCCTTCCTTTATATACCAAAACACTGCTCAGTTCTATTACATCACTGGCTGCTGTTATTAGGAGCCAGTCGGAGGGTCGCATCTGCCTGTGGAGCTGCAGGTTGCAGACCCCCGGTTTAGATCAAAGGATACTGGCGTGTTAATGACCTAGTCAAAGTAGAAAATCTGCAAAAAAAGACTTAAAAGTGGAAGTTCATTTTTAATCTGACTCCCCATCCTGATTAAATGTGAGCTATTTTGCAAAGATCAGTAGGCAACATGTTCGGCAGATGTGTACATCTGGTAGAGACAAACCCCAGAAGACCTGCCACTTTAATTTCAGTAAATAAGTGGTTGTACAGAGTGTAGAAAATATAAATAATCCAAAGAATGCAGATGGATGAAGCTATTTTTGGATGTGATTAGCACAAAACTGGGAAAATCCTTCATCATTTCCTTTGGACAATTCTGGATAAATGATTTGGTTTCACATAAAATATCAATTATTTAATCTTGTGGTTGCAGCACAAAAAAGTATGAATATCAACAAAGGATATAAGTACTTAAAGAAAAAAGTTGCTGCAAATATTCCTATTCCGTATAGCTGACGTCACAAAGGTTGCAATGTGCATTTTGAATCCTGGTCATTTATTCAGCTCCTGCTTTCTGCTCTGGCACAGGCAACATGCCCTGGAGACCCTTCCATCACAAACGCCTCCAGCCGCCAAGATCCTTAAGGGAGAAACTGAGTCCAAAGCTGCAGGAACGCCAGAGCCGGCTGCCAGGCAGAGAGTGGTAGCACCGCCTGCTGGGAGCGAGGTGCCTCCTCGGAGCAGAGACAAGTCAGGATGCTCTCCAGAACAGCTACTGCAACAGGAAGGTGGGCTAATTAGCAAAAGTGACAGGAAAGACTGTCATTTCACTTTGTCTCAGGGAGTTAAAAGAGCAAAGCTAGTGTCCTAATTTTCGATTACCATCTAAAACCAGATTAAACACGTAATGCCCCCAAGGAGTCCTAACAAGCTCATGTGGCATCCAGGATTAAAACCAACAGGAGGAGATGTGCTTCCCTGAAGACAGGGCCCACGTTTTGCATCCATGGAGCTAATTTAACCCCACGCTTTGCAGCAGCAGCACCGCACTAATCCATACTGAGGAGTCGTGCACTGTAGATTAACAAGGCAGGGTGCTGATGAGTCAACAGTGCTAATTGCACAAATTGTTTCCTTTTGCAGAAGCAGAGTTTTCAACCCTCAAAACGTCCTGGGAGAAAGCGAGGTTTCGCTTAAGGCTGCTGGAGGGTCACAGTGACATAGTCACCAGCGTGGTTGCTGTTGACAACCTGGTGGTTTCTGGAAGGTAAAGTAGCACATTATTTACATAATGGATGGGCAAAACGAGCATTCCTCCTAATTTATCTTCTAATAGGCGCTCACGCCCGCCATCATTGCCTCACCTGTATTTTCCCTCCTGAGATCTTGGAATTTAGTCTCAAACTTCTCTTCCCTTTATGTCAGTCGAGATACAACGGTGAAGGTGTGGCATGTTCCCACAGCAACAGAGCAAAAGAACCTGGGGGGTCACACTGGTGGAGTCACCTGCCTGTCTGTACCTCCCCCTGAGTATTGCAAGAAGCTGGGTGAGTCCACACAGATACTCCTGTGGGCCGTCTGCGGCTGAGTAATGCCCCTATCCTGCGGGCTGGTAATTATAGGAGCAGTTCATCAGATCAACTCCACTGAGAAATAACCTCAATAGACACTTTGGAGAGTTCACTGTCTGTCTGCAGAAGGCAGCCTTCCATCATTCGATTTGCTGGCTCTCCCTCCCCTCTCCTCGGTGTTCCTGCTTAAAGCACACAGGGTGGAGGAGCAACCCAGTCCTGCTGGACTCCTGGTCTCTGGGCTGGTTTCCCTCCTTACTACAAACGTGTTTTCTCTTCCTTTATTTTTTGCGTTTTCCCTCTTTAATCCTTTCATACACCATCACACTCATTTGAAGAACACTGGAAAAGTCCTCCTTCATTTCTTTATTCTCCTAATTATGCCTTGGATTTCGCTAAAAGAAACAGAATAACAGGTTAGGATTGTAAAACGTTTATTAACGACATATATTGTATTATTTCCTAATATCACGTAATGGCATTCTGAACTATTTATTAGTTATATGGAGGCAAACCTGCGAATATATGGAAAACTTAAAAGGAAGCAGACAGGATATCAGGAATAGAACTGCAGAACTTTGCAATTCTGGTTCATCTATGGAACAACATGCAGATAGAACATCATAGGAATCTCCTACAGCAATGTATTTCTAAAATGAGATGGGGTTTGTGTTCCAAAAATAAATGTGTTTTGGTGTAAAATGTGACTGAAAGTCCAATCAGAAACAGAAGAAAGTTTTCAAAGGCTCTTAATTATTAACTCAGCAGAATAATTAGCTGCACACACGAGATAACTTTGCAATACACCTGTTTTAAAATTTGGATCATAAGACATTTTGTAATCCATCTGCCTGAAAGTTTCAATTTCTAGTCATTTATGTAGTTAAGTTTATGAAAGAAAACATTTAGATCTGCAATCTTTCCTCACCCTGAGTCCGGCTTAATTAAAGTTACTCAGAGCTTTTAATAAAACACAACCTGTTGCTTTTATTAAATATCTGCCATAGGAAACCTGTTGCCACCCTAAACAACCACCTGTTTATTTGTATTTTTTGTTTTCTATGTAAGGAAAAAAATTATAAAGATGAAGCAAGGATTTTCTTCTATAAAATAATATTTGATGTCAAAAAGTAATACAATAATAAAACTGATTAAAAGAAAAATAGCTCAAAAAACAGTTTTGCTTCTCTTAATGTCATTCTGTTGTTAAAATGAAAATTCAAATATTCTTTACTGGTATTTACATTGGTTAGTTCTGTATATCATTTTTAGAAACTATTCAGAGCCATCAGAGGGGCCAAAGAACCGCAGGTTACAGACCTCTGATTTAGACAAACAAGAAATAGTATTTTATAATGAAGAAGATGGCTATCAAATTTCTTATAAGCTGCATTTATTAATTTTTCTGTGTGTGGTAACTTACCATCAAAGCAAATTTATTGTAGACATTGAAACAATGGTGTATTTATCAGGTCTTGTGTCTGTTTTTTGCTGAATTAATTTAACCAGTTACTTTCCCTTCTTTTAAACAAACATTTCCTTTGTCTGTTTCTGGAGTTTTCTTTCTTTTGTCTCTTTTTGTCCTCTGATTTTAGTTTTTTCACTACAGTCCTTCTGAAAGACTCGTCTTTGGTGCTTTACTGGCCGCTAAATGTAATGATGTTCAAGGGGAAATAAAACAAAACACACAAAGTATGATACTCCCACCACCATGCTTGCCTTTTGGGGACGGTGCTCTTTAGGTCATACCGTGCTTCCGTCTCTGCCTACAGAATAACTTTTATTTATTTTATTGTCCTCTTTCAGTCCTCTTAAACCTTAGTCATTTCCTCTATGTCTGCTCACTGAGCCTGCTTCTGGTGGAGGTTCCTCTCTGTTAGAAGGATATTGGAATATCTATATATTTCTATATATACTGGACCAGTTGAACCATTACGTGTTTGCTTGTGTGTTTAAGTCCAAATTCTTATTCCGTTTACAACCTTTGTCTGTGATTTCATTTCTCTCCAGCCTGGTCCCTGTCCTTGTCTGACAAAGAGAGGTTTATTTTAAGCGGTTCTGCAGACAGCCATGTGAAGATCTGGGCCCTGAGCATCGGTATGATTACTACATCAACACGGACACACAGGCTTTACTTGCTTGAAACATATAATGGCTTGTATCTTGTCAATTAAGCAGCATTTTGCTGTTACCTTCAGGGCAGTGTGTTAAATCTATCTACACATTCAACGTGGTGACCGCGCTCTGCTTTGCGCCTGAGGGGGATGGCTACATCATCACTGGTTCAGGTGTGTATCTGCGAGGGCACAAAGTGCAAGCGACACAGTGGATAGAATAATTGGTCTGTTTCCACTGACGCGTGTGCACAATTTCATCCCAGGTTTGTGTTTATGTCTTTACAAATATTCCTGCTGAATCTTGACTCTGCTGCTTCGCCTGTCATTAAGTTATCGTAGCTACCAGTTCATTTTGAGTTGATTCGGCTGTCTGGCTCAGGTGTGTCAGCTGCGACCAGCGATAATGACTGTCGGCCGCCTGTCTTCACACGTTAACCTCACACTCTGTCACCCTGCAGACGGGGGGAAAGTTCAAGCCTGGAGCTGGCACACTTTCCAGAACTGCCAGTCAGTCAACGCTCACCAGGAAGCAGTCAGCTCCATCCAGGTGAGTCATGTTTATTTGGTTGGGACAGCACATAGTAAAATTAGCCATCTGGCTAATGTGCACACCGAGTCCCTGAGTGGATCTTTCAATAAAATGAAATACAAACACAGGTTACTGTTATAGTACTACTGACTACTTATCTGTTGCTTAATGTGTATAGTCTTGTTTAAAAAACCAACAACCTCACACCTACAATTAAGATTCTACCTTTACACTGCAAAAACGATCTAAAAATAAGTACAAATTTCAGGAAATACTTGTATTTACCCTTAATTTGAGTAGGTAAATAAGATGATTTGCCCATGGATGAGATTTTTACTCTTAAAATAAGATAATTAAATATTATGCACTTGAAATAAGACAATGAAGTTGTTTTTTTCTTATTTTAAAATTAAAATTTTCTCGTTCCAATGGCAAATAGCCTCACTTACCTCCTCAATTAAAGAGAAAATGCACTTATTTAAGAAAAAATTACCTATTTAGATTTTGATTTTTTGCAGTGTATATATAGTTTCTCTAGATAAATCCTCTCTGACACATCAATGCAACCAGCTGCTTTATATGCCAAATGTGGACATTTAAAAAATATAAATAATAAAGGTTTGAAGAAGCATTAAAAATAGAATTCTTGATACAATGATTAGTGATAAGTATGTCCATCTACTGTACAGTATATGCATCAATGCCAAGTGGCATTAAGGCTTGGGGCTTTGCCAGGTGTTAAAGAAGCCCGGGGTGGCTCTATAGCAGCCTTTAGGTACTCTGTATAGCAGGCTTTGCTGCCTCTCATCTTTCTTCTAACTATACTCCATATTTCCCCTATGGCAGGGCTATTTAATTCTGCTCCTGAGGAACCACTGTCCTGCATGGTGTAGCTGTCTGTGCTCCTGCAAATTATTGCAGTACCAACCTGCCCAGCAGCCATCTAGGGCTACAGATCCCTGTAAACCACCAATGCATTTAAGTCAAGTGTGACGGAGAAAAAAATAAGCAAAACATGCAGGAAAGTTCTTAGGACCCGGATCCGTGGGGTTCTGTTCAGGTCTGACAGGTTTGCTGTTCTCTGAACCAGCATTTGCTACCTTTGGCTGCACTGGAAAACTTTGCAACCTAGATATGTATTTTTTTCTTAAAATAAGTGCATTTGTTCTTGCATTGAGGACATAAAAGAGACATTTTACCAATGGAACAAGACGATTTACACTTAAAATAAGAAGACACATTTGCATTGTCTTATTTCATGTGCATATTATCTAATTATCTTATTTTAAGAGTACAAATACTCATTCCATTGGCAAACTATCTCATTTACCTTCTCAAATTAAGGTTAATTTAAGACATTTTTACTTATTTCTAGATCGTTTTTCTAGTGGGTCTGCAGGTAAAAAATGGAATCAGCATCTCCATGAGGGTTTTCAGCCGAAGGAAGCTGTCTGCACTGACTTTAGACTTGATAAATAATCTGTCAGTGCTACTTTAAGGCACTGATTTTAGCTACAGTCCAGGTCTTTGGGGTGTCCCACCAACTCTTTACAGGTCTTTGCTCCACTAGTATCTCTATTGATTATGTTTCTTTTCCAGCAGCCTTTTCCTTCAACTCAGGTTTACATTCAGTTGTTTGGATGCAACACTAAACAAGCGTTTTGGGACTTATTGCTCTTATGGAAGATTTTAACAACTGTCTGCAGGTCAACAGTTTTCTCAATGGTTGTATTGACGATAACATACATTTTGGGGGATTGAAAAACTACATTTTTATTTTGAATATTAAATTCAAATGCTTCTAAACTCTCTATATTTTGTCCTAATTGCAAACGTCTTTGTTATGTTATCTCTACTTCATGTAAAGGGTGAATTTAACACGGCTGCGCTTCAAAATGTGGATATTAACAGTTGGCTAAAAGCTTACATCTCTATTAAAAAAAAGCAAAGTCAGGATGTAGAGGTAGTAAAAAATGCTTGATTTGTTTTCTAGAGCTGAAAAATAGTCTGTTAGGTTTATGGTAATAGTTACTGGTTTAAAGATTATTTAGGAAATGTATTGATCTCAAATCCTCATAGTTTAAAATAGATCCCATAGCATACAAACTAAAAAGGATGGGACCTAAGATGGGTCCCTGTGGAATTCCTCTATCAAATCTTTATCACAAACTATATCAGCTCCAGCATACTTTTGGATGCTCTTGAGTGTGATTTAGACCAAAGTGATAAAGATGATTTTTAAACATTATATTTTTTAGAAATATAGGTAAAGATATTGTTTTATTTTTCTGTATTAGATCCTTTTTTTTTGCAGCTGGAATACTCCAACACCCTAATGACAAAACTAACATTTAAAAACACTAAAACATGCTTTTAAAGACTATCTTTAGGATTGCCTATTCTTCATAAAGAAATTACCCTCTTACACTCTAACAAGCTTTTCCTTCATTTTGCTTTTAAATGGAGATAAAGATATTCGCTGTGATGCAGGCTGTGGTCCAATTTCAGAGCGTACTGTTTGTTTTCCACTTTTTACAAAAAGGGTGATTTCATGAAAACTGAAACCCGGGGCTGCATAAGCACAGTTCTTTCTCTTTTTTTTTTTTTTCAATTTGCCAACATCATAATATGCCTAAAGCATTGTCACCCTCTTTGTTGTTTCTCATGCAAAGCACACAATCCATTTATAACTGGCAGCAGCGCGAAAAACATCTTAAAATATTCCCTTTAATTCCGTTTCCACAAACATACATGCAATCTCTGGCTGACACACACACACACACACACACACACAGAGTGGGTAAGGACTCAAGTCGCCATGACAACCATGTGCCCTCCACAGTCTCAGGGTCCTCTGGTGTTCAGCGGCTCGGTTGAGGGAGGGGTGTCTGTGTGGGAGAACCAGTGTTCGGATCGTGAACCCCTGAAGCTGCTCCACCACTGGAGCGGTCAGGTGACGGGCATCAGCGGGGGGTCCGACGGGCGTCTGAAGCTCAGCCCGCGGGGAGACCGGGTGTTCCTGGCGTACGGTCGAGCCTGGATCAAGATCCTGCACTGGAGGACAGGTTGGTCAGCTCTGGAGTAGGATCACCACAGATGTTTGGAGAATCTGCATAATCCTTCCTACTAACATCTGTTTAATTACCATAGGAATGATATCCAGGTTGACCAATCACAGCAGCATCACCGGCGTGACAGATTGTGTTCATCAGACCGGGGGCCTCTTAATTGGCTCTTGCTACGACTTGGCGAACGGGGAGAGCTCCCTTAACTGTGAGTCAAAGATTAAAGCGTGTGCAGCCAGAAGTTCCTCTCTCTTTGCTCTGAGTGTAGAAACACAATAAGGACTAAAGTCTAAATGGAAACTACTCTCTTGGCCTCCAATCCTTTAATCTCTTTCTCCTCTCTGCAGTGTTCTCTCTGCCTCAGTGTCGCTATTTGGCCTCCCTGTCCTGGCCCGATGCTCCCAGAATCCTCTGCTTTGCGACATGGACAACTGGTAGTGGAGACCACCGTTGGGTGACCGGGGGTCGGGACCTAATCGTATGGGAGCAGCTCCCCAGTTCTGGGAAGCAGAGGTGGGGTTGGTTCTCACCAATAGCTCTGATTCAGTTTCCTCTGTGAATATTTATGCTTTCCTATTTAGCAATGAAAATATACAGTTTCCTCTATGATTATTGGGTCCCCTGGAAGAGATATGTACAAAAGTGTTAAAATAAGTTGTTGTCATGGAGACTCCAAGATGCTTATCTTTGCTACAGCTGCACTAATAATGAGCTTTGGGGTTTTTTATAACTTATTCTTATCTATGTATCAGTTGACAAGATACAATTTCCTCAATTATATTTATGTGTTAAATGTTTGGGGGACAAATAAGTGTTCAAAACCATTTTTTTTCTAACCTAGAATTTTATACCACAATGGAAAATATGGGAGGAAAGTATGGATGGAAATTTGCTTTTGTTTGCAGACTTAATCTACATCTAATCTTCAAATAAAGAAGCAAGTATTAATGTCTAAAATATCCTGTCTGCTTTTTGCACTGATTATTTTATGCAAAACTAAAGACTGCATTATCATAATGTAAACTGGAAAACACTCTCCAAACTTTTATGAAGAGGCATAACGCAGGTGATGGAAAACTTAATGACAAGATTGGGCTGTTATTTGCAGAGCATTTACTTATTATGGAAAAAAAACTGACACATTTTTTTATAACTCTTGTCCGCTGCTGTTTTTGTAACAGTAATTTATTGTGTTTGCAATTTGCTTTTAAAACAGTGACTCTACAGAAATATTGCTCTTAAATTTATGGACAACATTTTTCATTGAGAAATTATATCAACGAAGAACAGCAAAAGTAACACTCTGCAAAACTTTTTACAGCTTTGAACCTTTTTACAGCTATTCAACCTTAAAACCAAATACCTTGTTTTGTGGTTTTAGGGTTCTTTGCTTTCCTTTTGCTCCTGTTTTAGATATACATCTAACAATTATATAACAAATAGTATTGCTTGTACTGTTCGTACATGGGAAGTAGTGGCCTACTTTCTATGCTTTTTGTTTGTTTCTTTCCTTTACGGATTTATTTTTATTATTGGAGTTTTTTTGGAGAGGGATTTACACAGCAGTCTTTTATTTTGGGTTTTTCATATGATCAAAAAAGAAGATAAAGGGACATTTAATAGATTTTTTTTCTTGATCAAGCAACGTTTGTGACATATATGAGTAGAGAGTATATGATAAATAAATTAAACATAAAGTACAGTTCGTGTACAGCTTGTTAAGAGTATGATAAGTGTATTGTTAGCAAATAGATCCTTCCTTCCTTCCTTCCTTCCTTCCTTCCTTCCTTCCTTCCTTCCTTCCTTCCTTCCTTCCTTCCTTCCTTCCTTAATA